GGGTGGTCGCCTCCCCTCGGACCGGTGGAGGGCTGGCGCCGGCAGGGAGGGGATTTATGCTCGGTCTGGCGCGGAGGTGCCGCCTGTGGAGGGAGAGCAGGGCTTCCCTCTGTTCCACGATACCTCCGGCTCCCTCCGCGAGCTGGGACGGGCTACCTTGGCGCTTTTTCTCCCCAGCCCTCTACCGTGGGGGTGCTGGCTTACCTCTGGGCTGTGGAAAGGAGACGGGCCTGGGGCAAGAGCACCCCGGGACACAGCAGTGAGTCTGTGAGCATCGACATCTGGCTTCCGACCCGCACTGCAAGGCTCCCGGAGAGGATGGCCTCCGAGCAGAGCTGGGGCGCGGGGCGTCAGGTCCTGGAGCGGAGCTGGGACGTGGGGCGTCAGGTCCCGGAGCAGAGTGGGGGAGTGGGGCCGTCCAACGGTCTCCCGGTTCTGATGCCCCAATGCACAGCTAGGAGTCGGGACGCTCAGCCGTATGGGATGTGGCTGCTGTCTCTGAGCGTCCCGGGGAAGCTGGGGAGGCGAGCTCTTGTCTTTCCCCTTTCTGGAAGCTCGGCCGGGGAGCAGCCTGTCATTCCGGCAGGGAAGGAGACTGGTGAGAACTGGAGATCGCGGAGATGCCTGGGGCTGGGCAGGCTGCCTCTGGCATCTGAAACTGCATTTGCAGCCAGCCTCTACCCAGCACCGGGGACCCTGGCCCTCTGGGCCGGACCTGGGGATGGACTCCCGAGCCCACAGTGACTGCACCCAGGGCCGTCCCGGCACTTAGTAGGCCCTCAGTGGCGGCCGTGAGCCATCGACCGCACAGTCGGAAAGAGGCCCCTTTCCCGTGGCTCTAGCAGAGCTGGTCAGGTCCCGCCTTCAGCCGCACTCCGAGAGCCGCTCATAAACTATTGATGTTTAATAACGTCGATGAGCGTCTTGCCCTTCACAAATGAATATTGAATAAGCAATAAAGAGGCAGAGCGCAACCAGGTGCACGCGGGGCCCCAGGAGATGCTCGTGGAAGGGCTCAGGGCCTGCCTGGCCCAGAGGTTCTAGTCCGCGAGGCTGGGAGGAGAGAGGTCGCAGAGCCGTGGGGGTGGCCACCCCTGCATTCTGCGCAGTTTCAGCACCTTTGCTGAGACGTGGGTTCCATTCCCACCCACTCTCACGCTCTCCCGGCCACGTGAGAGCCGGGCCCACAAGTTGAGCAGGGCGCCGAGAAGCCCCCCGCTTGCCCAGGCCCTGACGGAGCTGGCTGGGGTGTTTCTGAGACAGAGTTTCCGTCCTTCCTGTCCTGCGCCAGCACTGCCCAAGCTCTGGCCTCCCCGTGGGCTGGGCGTCCCTGTGTGCGCGGCGAGCGTGACCAGGGCTCTCAGGGGTCCGGTCTAATTGGGGTGATTTAATGGAATTTCTGGCAGATTCAGATTTATACGGCTTTCTGAGCTGCAAATCTGCTTTCTAAATGTGGAATTTTTGTGGAGTGGTAAAAATAATGGCTGTTCTGTGATTCCTGCTCCTGAGCAAGGAGATTGCATTTACATTATGCAAATAGGCATTATGCAATCAAGGGCCTTTAGCAGGGATCTGACTGCAGAGAGGGGGTTGCAGCCCAAGGAGGGTGAGGCTGGAGTGGGAGGGGTGGAGGAGGAAGACAAGGCAGCGGCGGCCATGGCCAGGCAGCGTCCCTCCCTGGCCGAGGAGGCCAAGTGAGCCCGCCTGGGAGGGACCCTCCCAGGGCACCAACACGGCTCTCTCCATTAATGGCTTTGTTTAATCACACCCCCTGTCCAGAGGAGTATTGTCTTACGGATAATTTCGTTTGCCTAACGAGATTTTGCTAATTAAATCTCCTTTTGGAGCGTGGCTGTTCACTGTGCGCAGGAGAGGGGCTCCCGTCTGGAGAGGCGCTGGGAAGAGGGGTGGCCTCAGCTGGCGTGAGCTAGCAGGGCTCCCAGCATGCCGGCCGGCGCCTACCCTCCTCCCATCAGAGCCCGTGGTCCTGCGTCTCCGTTGAGCCGAAGGGCTCTCCCTCTTCTCCCTCGGTGGCTCCACCAGGACCCATTCCTACGTCTTCCCAAGTCCTCGGAGAGGCCAGGAGGCTGGCCGGGAGTCCCCCAGGGTTCGGTCTGGCTGGGGCTGTGGACGGCTGTGTGGATGCCTGCAGCTGGCCGGAGGTCTGACCTACAGAGGAGCATTTGCTCCTCAACTGGCCCTTCCTCCTGGGCTGATTGTGCGACTCGCAGGACACCTGGTCACTCATTTCCCCGGAGCTGGCCTGTGCA